CAATAGCCTTTGAAATGTATGCCCTTCAGTCCCACTAACAGCATCTTGCTAGTTTATCTCAAGGAAACAGAGAGATACCCTAAGATTTATGTACACTGATATTTATCACTATGTTATGTGCAATGACAAAAAACTGAAAACACGCTGCCTCAGAATGGGATACTGCTGGGACCAGCAGTTAGTGTAATGGCTATGTCGCTGGACTCCCATGTAGTCGACTGTGGTTTGAGTCCCGGGCCTGGTGGCTTAAACTAATACCAGGTGTGTGTGCGTGCGTGCCCAAGATCCCTAGAGGAGAATGGAGGAGAAGGGATTGTGGTGTGGCCATCCCCCCTGGGGGGTGATTTCTCGCTGTCTCTCTGTCTCTCTGGTGAGTGCACGCACCCTATAGCAAAATCCTCTCCAGAAAAATAAAAAAAAAAAAGAATGGGATATTGCTAAGTAAATTATGGTATACTATCTAAAACACACTAATAAATAGTTTTGAAGAACACTTAACAGGAGGAAATGCATATATGTTGAATGTGTGTGCCCAATACAAACAAATAGTTTTGTAAAAATGTTACACATGAGAGACTCCCACATGGTTGACCATGGATCAAGTCCCGGACCTGGTGGCTTGCTTTCTCACTTTTCCTGTCTCTCTCTCTCTCACTCTGTCCCTCTCTGGTCAAATTAAAATAACTAAGTAAATAAAGTTAAATAAAATAATTCTTTAAAACAATGTTACACATGGAAAAGATAAAGGAACCATGCCACGTTTCATGTGGCGACCTATAAATAGCAGGATTGAAGCTAATTTTTATTGTCCTCTTTATGCCTTTCTGTTTTCAAATTCTCTACATTCAATATAAATTATATTTCAACCAGAAATAAATGCTATTTGTAAAACAGTAAGAAAACATCACCACCAGGAAATCGTGTCTACAGAGATCTCCTTCAGGCCAGGAAGGAGGAGCGTCTACTTGGGGCTGGGGACCGACATGGGCTCTGGGGGCTGCACTCTGCGTTACCGCCACCCGGACTGCAGCACTTAGGGTATGCTCATGGACGACTCAGAATCTCCCCCACGTTTGTCGTTTGCTGCAAGGTTTCTCAAACTTGGGTAGTGCTGTGGTTTGGAACGTGTTATGCCCCAAAGTTTCACGCTTTGGAATTTGAGACTGGGAGGCGGCAAGGCGCACGGGTGGTGGTCGTCATTGTGACTGCATCACAGATGGGACACGCTCGTGAGCAGATGAACCGTGTCTCGTGAGACCCAGTGAGCTTCAGTTCAGAGAGAAGAGCTCAGCTCTTGTCAAGGCTGGTTGTTACAGAACAGAGCGAGCTGCTTGTTTTCTCTCTACACGTGCCTGCCACCCTCCAGGCTTCCATCAGCGAGGCGGTAGGCCGAGGTCTTCAGATTTCCCAGTTAACAGAATTAGCAGTTTGCAAATAAACCTCTCTTTTCTTTATAAAATCACCCAGGCTCAGGTATTTGTTTTTACTTGCCAGAGCTGTATACGCTCACAGGAAACAGAGAAAGGGAGAAAGCACCTCCCCCCAAAGGGACACGGTCCCACCATAATCCCTTCTCCTTCATTCCTCCACCCTGTCAGGATTTGGGGCATGCATGCACATGCGTCCAGCATGTTTGGCAGGTTTTGGGGGCTGGGATTCAAACCACAGTCAGTCATGTGGGATCTGGCTCCCTCAATCACCGGGCTATGGGGCTGGCCTAAGCTCAGGTATTTCCATGAGCAGCGCAAACACAGATAAGTGTACAGGTCACCTTTAAAGGGGAAAAAATACTTTATGTGAAACATTTTCATAAAACTTTTTTTAAGAGGAAGATTTTTGCTATAGGGCATGTGTGTTTGCAGGAGAGACAGAAACAGAGAGTGAGAATCATCCCCTGGGGAGATAACCAGGCCACAGCCCCATCTCCTCCACTCTCTCAGGATCTGGGACATGCACACACACACGCCCAGGGTGAGCTCTAAGCTGCTGGATCCGGGCTCGAACTGCGTAGACTATGTGGGAGTCCAGCAGCGTAACCATTACACCATCTCATCTGCTGGTCCCTTCATGTAGCTTTTAGAAGTACAATTTTAAAACTAAGTTTACATATCTTATATTTATATAACTGGACAAACAAAACAAACATATAAAGTAATTGTAGGGGCTTGAGGGTGGTACAGAGTTAAAATGCAACAGTCTGTGAGGCAATGCCGCAGGAGAAAGTTCCCACTTCATGTCCAGAGACCTCCCTGAGGATTCTGGGTGTTTGTAAGTAGTAGGATTAATGATGATTTTTATTGTTCTCTTTATGCCTTTCTGTCTTCAAACTCTGGGTAGCCATGCATGATGACCCAAGGTGGGACAGCAGCCCCAAGCCCTGCAGGGTTGCAGTCGCTCTCACTTGTTCATGGAAGGAAGCAACAGATTTCTTTTTGTTTTTTGGAGAGGTTTTTGCTATAGGGTGCATGCACTAGCCAGCCAGACAGAGAGAGACAGAGAGACAGAAAGCGAGAAATCACCCCCCAGGGGGGATGGCCACGTCGCAATCCCTTCTCCTCCATTCTCCTCTAGAGTTTAAGGGCACGCACGCACACGCGTCCAGCGTGAGTTTAAGCCACTGGGTCCGGGACTCGAACCGCGGTCGACTACATGGGAGTCCAGTGACATAGCCATTACACTAACTGCTGGTCTCAAGGAATCAACAGATTTTTAAAAAATAATAAAAATAAATTAAATACAAACAAAACCACCAAATCAGCAGAATTCAAAACAGTACTATTTTAATAAAAGGATGTTGTTACTTGAATGAAATAATTTAAGCACTGGCCTAAAAACAGGCACACATAACAACAGAATAGCGCTAGAAACGTGCACACACGCACACGTGTGCACGCCTGATGGCCCCACGGCTGGTCTTCACGTATCTGGAGGAAGGTCCTCGCACCTCAGTCTGCAGCACGGAGGTCAGAAATGCTCTTGGACCCACTGGGCAGCTCAGGCTGAGGGGGAGAGTAAGGGCGGTGCTGGTGCCTGTGCAGCTACATTGTGTCTGTCATCGCACTGCACCCTGCCTGACTCCGAGACTGATAAGGTGCCCTTGGCCCAGATGAGGTGGCCCCTGGCACACGACCAGGCCTGTCGACGTGCTAGACTGACCATGGCAGACATAGACAAGGCTGGCCCTGGCGGAGCAGTCAGCTTTCTGAGGGTTAAAGGTGACCCTCGCTCACGCAGCTGTCATCAGTTGCCACCATGTACCCCTGGATTTGGGGGTCCGGATGTCTGCATGACCTTCCAACCTAGAAAACGCTGCTCATGCTCCTGACTCATGAATTACTATGATAATCAAGTTTCTGGGTTTTCTGTTTGCTTGTTTGTTTTTTGAGAGAGATTTTTGCTATAGAGTATGTGCACTCACTGAAAAGACAGAGACAGAGAGAGCGAGTGAGAAATCAAGCCCTGGGAGGATGGCCACACCACACCACAATCCGTTCTCTTCCATTCTCTCTCGGGATCTTCACACGCGCCCAGCGTGAGTTTGAAGCCACCAGGTCTGAGACTCGAACAACAGTCTAATATGTGGGACTCCTGTGATATAACCATTATGCCATCTACTGGTCCCTGTTTTTGTTTTGTTTTGTTTTTGAGAGATTTTTGTTATAGGACATGTGCACTCTCCAGAGAGACAGAATGGGAGAAATCACCCCCGGGGGCAAGACCATGTCATAATCTTGTCTCCTCCATTATCTTCTTGGGATTTGGGGCATCGGCACACACAAACACACACACACACACACACACACACACACACACACACACGTGCCTGGCATGAGTTTTAAGCTGCCAGGTCCAGGACTTGAACCACAGTCGACTACGTTGTAGTCCAGTGACATAACCATTATGCCATCTGCTGGTCCCTGTAATCAAGTTATCTGACCAGCAGCTTTGAAGAAAAATGTAATTTCAGTCTTTACTTCATATTCCAATTCATAGAATGGATTTTTAAAAATTCTTCTACATATAATAAGAAAAAAACCACAATTTTATAATCAAATTTCTAGAAGAAAAAAGATCACGGAGTAATTTAATGACATAGATATCTAAAACTTCTATATACTAGATCAGTAAGAAGTAACAGACAGATAAGGGGAAATATCCGTAGAAAAGGAGGGTCCCAGCAGACAAACAACCTGAGGTTCATCCTGCAGACTGCCTTGTTAAGGAGGTGCAGAAAGGGAGCCACTTTCTGTTCAAGTTCCCTACACCATGAGTCCCTAGAAATCTTCTACACATGGGGATTATGTGTGTGTGTGTGTGTGTGTGTGTGTCAGGGCATGGGGAAGGGACTGGTTCCTTCTGCTCCCTTATCCCATCAAGTCTAGTATCAGACAAGAGTAAGAATTCAAAAATGACTTCTGAATGAAGACAGGAAAATACATAAGGTCTGTTATAAAAACAGAAACAAGAATTCAGGCATTAGTCTAGAAAACACGGAAAGTTTCAGACACAGCCTTAATCGTCAAAGTAATCCAATTTGACAGCTCTGTTCACTAAAATAAATGGACGTGTGGTTCAGGGGTTCAGTCTGCTACAATGCATTTCCAACTTTGGACACACCTAAACAGTTTGGAGACTACATTTCAGACTTCCATCAATAGTTTGCAGCTATGTACTCCCCAAAAATTATCAAGAAGGATGATAGGTTACTTTCACTTAAAAAAATTTAGGTTGATGGGGGCTGGCAGATCGCGTGGTGGTTAAGGGCGCTGGACTCGCATGTGGCCGACTGTGGTTTGAGTCCTGAACCTGATGGCTTGCTTTCTCTCTCTTGCCCTCTCATTCTCATTCTCACTCTGTCCCTCTCTGGTCAAATTAAAATAGATGAGTAAATAAAATAAAATAAAACATAAAATAAAAAATTAGGATTGAACAGAAAGAAGTGTTTTTCATGGGTGTTCTAGTCTGTTCTGCTGCTAATAACAGAATTACCTGAGCCTGGGCAATTTATAAAAACAGAGGTTTATTCAGCTCATGGCTTAGCTCCAAGGACAAAGGGCAGCAGCTTGCTCATGGGTAACAGGGTGGGGGGCAGAAGAGAGCATGTCTGTGTCCACGTCTCCAACTTATTCCCTCTCTTTATAAACACACCCAGTCTTCAATCTTGGGGCTCCAGTCTGATGAACCTTAATCCCAAGCTCCTCCAAAAGGCCACATCTTTTACCACCACCATCTGATCAAATCTTCACCCTGTTAATCCTGTCACAACCAAACCTCAACAAATGAATTACGGGGGACACATTCAACAAATGAATTACGAGGGACACATTCAAAGTACAGCAATGAGTGAACCAAATTGCTTATACATAATCAAATCAAATTAGTGACAACAGAAGTAGTGCATTGATCGCCTGGACGCCATGTACCTCAGAAACAAGTAAACACACACGTATAGAAGTTTAACTACACACAGTCTGCAACAGGAAATGATGTTAAACTGTCAGTGTTTTTTTAAAAATCTGTGTAAAAAACCAGATTTACCTAAGTGCTGCAGTCCACAGCAGGCTGGAAGCCACGGGGCCAGCCACGGGTTTAGATCCCTGGTCTGCCTGAGAACATGCTGGAGGTATATGCAGAGGCAAGATCCTGAGGAGCGGGAGGGCTGGGGAGAGGGGATCACAGCCTGATGAGACCCTGCAAGGGTTCTCTCTCTCTCTCTCTTACACACGAGCAAGCTCTCTGCCATGAGTAAAAGAAAACCTTAGGAAAAACAGACCAGCCTATGGCCTGGTGGTTAGGGAGGCTGTATGCCATTTGGCCAACCACAAAGTCTGAGTCCTAAACCTGGCAGCTTAAAAAACATGCTGTGTTGGGCCAGCAAGTGGTGTGCTGGTTAAGGCGCTGGACTCTTACGTGGCTGACTGCAGTCGGAGCCCTGGACCTGGAGGCTCGCTCTCTCCCTCTACGGTGAGCACATGTGACCTAGAACAAGTTACAAAATAATGGTAATAATAAATCAAATGAAATAAATCATTTTTTTCTAAATGCCAGGTAGGTGTGTGTGCCCAAAATCCCAAAAGGAGGGGACATGGAAGGAAGAGGATTATGACTCGGCCAAGCAGAAAGGAGTGCTTTCTCACCTCTCCTGTCTGTCTCTCTGTGGCGAGCTTATGTGCCTTTCAGCAAATTTAGGAAAAGAAAAAGAAAAAGAATAATCAAATGACTCTGGAAAAACCATTGAAGAACTTTCATTTCTACATTCATACCTTTTCACTTATTCCAAAAGGATGAGATCTGAGAATGCAATTACGCTATTATTGATGAAAAGTTAAACATTCTACTCATGACAACCAGTTACAGGGTAATTTTTATTAAATATGGAAATCAAGACAGGAGAAAGACATAAACATGGAAAGAAGAAAGCTCCTACCCTCCAAATCCTTATAAATGGTCTTTTCTTTCCCAATTACTTATATAATAAGAGGTGTCAAATATTCACTTTCAGCCTCGCCTCAGCGGCTCAGTGGCACATGCTGCTAAGACACTGCTATTCTACGACATGGGCCACGTGAGAGGTCCAGGTTTGATTCCCAGTCCAACCTCAAGTCCGCCCAGCGGCACTGCCTGAGTCTCAGTGCCTCAGGAGGCTGAGGGTGGCAGGAAGGGTGCTTACCACGATAGTCCTTAAAAAGAAAAAAAAAAATTAAAGTGATCTTGACTCCAAAAGTATTTTACAAACTGACAAGCTAATATAGTTAGGACAGGACAAAAAATAGGCGTTACTGTTTTCCACTGCTTCCAAAACCTGGTGGCAAAACCTCCAGAACTGAAGATTGACTCAAACTGCCCCCAAAGTGCAAATGGCAGGGACTTTTACTTCCAGTAATTGTGGACGAAGTAAATCAGAACAACCCTCTAACTGAAGAGAACTAGAAACACTGGGGAAAAAAATGTAACGAAATTTGCTTGGTGTGTGGAGGAGTAAGCACATCGGAGGCTCGGAGGTGAGCTCACTGCTTTTCCCAAGGGTTACTGGTCAGTCTCTAAGGGATGCTAAGTTTGGTGTTGAGGTGGGGAATGATTGTGTCCGTGCAGAGGTGAACACTAGCAGGAAAGGTGAACAGGACAGGCTTGTCTTCGCAAGGACTACACCTCAGTGAACCTGGACTGAGCCCACACTGTACGTGCCCCCATTTGCCTAGGAAAAGCAAAGGTGCATTATCTCTGGAAGAGACACACATCACCTTAAACGTTCAATTATTTCAAGCCCAGTTCTGTGAAGCAGTGGTGATGTGCTGCACAAGAGAAGCTGGATCCCACATGGTGATCGTGGTTCAAATCCCCAGCCCAGTCAGCCTGACATACCAGGCACGTGCATGAGCACCCAAGATACAACAGCTGGAGGACTGGAAGAAGGTGCTCATTTCTCTCTCTGGTGCATGCATGTGATCTATCATGAATGAGGAAAAAATTATTTCTATAAACAATTCTGCAAATATGATGTCTAGCATACTCTAAAAAACCCACAAGGTACATCAGGAAATAAGACAGTAGGAAAGGAAACCAACAGAAGCAGGCACTGGCAACAGATACTGTCATGATCAGACACAGACCTTAAGGGAATTATGTATACAATGTTCAAGGAGAATATCGTGATGGATAATTTTGGAAGATAACTGGGAACTATAAAAGAGGACCAATTGGGAATTAAATTTTAAAAGTGTAATAAATGAAATTAAACACTAAATAGATAGGATTAAGGTTTAATAGCAGATTACCTTCAGCAGAAGAGAAAGAGATAAGTGAGAAGATATCCAAAATGAAGAGACAAACATGGAAAAAAACAGAAGGAATGTTAGGAGACACAGAATATATAGTGAAATGGTCTAACATATATAATTGTAGTGCCAGCAGGAAAGGTAAGAGAAAATGAGGCAGAAACAATAACTGAAGTCCTAATGGCTGATGATTTCCAAAGCTAATGAAAGACATGAAGCCACAGGTCAAGAAGTTCCAAAAGCCCTTGTTATTAATCAAAAGAAATCCATACCAGAAACATCACTGAAAAGCTGCTGAAACCAAAGGCAAAGAGAATGTTTTTAAAGCAGCCAAAAGGAAAGACTGACTACTTACAAAGGAACAACAGACAAACAAGTGACTTATCAAAAAAAACAAACAAAAAAACAACCAAGATAGAGCTAATGAGGTAGCTTTAAAATACTAGAAGTAAACAATGGCAGGTCCGGCCTCAGTGGCACAAGCAATAGTGCACTAAACTACAGTGCTGGAAGCCAGAAAGCCACCATTGGTTTGAATCCCTGGCCTGGATGAACCTGAACATAACAGGTATGTGCACATAAGCTGAAGGGTTGGGGGAAAGGGATAATGGAGTAACATAACCCTGTCAAAGGATGCCTGTCTCTGTCTCTCTAAATCTCATGCACGTCCATGACCCTTCTATCATGAGTGGAAAATTAAAAACTTTTAAGAAGAAAACAATGACAAACCAAGAATTCTGTAAGTACTGAAAACGCCCTTCACAAATGGAAGACAACATTCTAAAATTAGATTGTCATAATGGTTGCATAACCCTGAATATTCTAAAACCCACTAACCTATACACTTTAAATGAGTAAATCTACGACATTGGAATTATATCTCAATAAAACTGTTTATAAAAAATAATAACATGAAGGACAAATAATGACATTTTCAAACAAAGAAACTAACAGTTTCTTACCAGCAGATGTGTGCTAAAGGAATATTACAGGGTATGCTTTAAGAAGGATGAAAGATTGGAAGATGACAAGGTAGCACTGCAGAGCTACAGAGAAAAGATGATCTTACTCATAAACGATGCTAAATAGTGGTGTTCGGTGAAGATGAAACACATTCTTTTTCACAAAGGTCAATTCCAGATAGAGTATGTATCTTAATGTAAAAGGCAAAACAGTAATGTTTCTAGAAGATATTATAGGAAATTATCTTTGTGATTTTGGACTGGAAGAAGACCTGTAAACTGCAGTGAAAATGGGACAAGATATTTGGACAGGCACTTCATAAAAGAGGATATCAAATACGCATGGAAAGATGTCCAACTCAATACTTGACAGGAATCTACAAATTAAAACCACCATGGGACGCCACTTCACACTTACTGGAACAGCTAAAATCTAAGACTGTCAATACTAAGCATCGACAAGGATGTAGAGCAATAACTTTAGGGGGCCGGCAGATAGTATGGTGGTTAAAGGTGCTGGACTGTGGTCAACTGCGGTTCAAGTCCTGGACCTGGCCTGGGGGACTTGCTCTCTTGCTTTCCCTTTCCTTCCCTCTCACTGGTCAAATTAAAAAATAATACTAACCAATGAAATTAAATACTTTTTTTTTAAAAGAACTTTCAATGCACTTGTTGGTAAGAGTGTCAACTGGTACAGCCAGTTTGGGAATGGTATTATCCACTATAGTTGGAGACATATGTATCTTTTTTTTTTTTTCTTGGAGAGGTTTTTTTTTTCCCCCCCTATAGGGCGCTTGCGCTCGCCAGACAGACAGAGAGAGACATGGAGACAGAAAGCGAGAAATCATCCCCCAGGGGGGATAGTCATGCCGCAATCCCTTCCCCTCCATTCTCCTCTCCGGATCTTGGGCACGCACGCACACGCGCCTGGCGTGTTTTAAGCCACCGGGTCCGAGACGCGAACCGCGGTCGACTACGTGGGAGTCCAGCGACATAGCCATTATGCTAACTGCTGGTTCCCGAGACATGTGTATCTTTTGAACTAAATATTCTACTGCTAGGTATAACCCCAACAGAAATAAATGCACAAAACGCATAGAATATTCATAAGTGCATTATTCATACCCAAAAGCTAGATACAACTTCTGGGTCTAAGACAGCAAAATGGATACATTGTGGTATATTCAGTCACTGGAATACTACTGACCAATAAAGATGAACAAACCAGGGTTACCAGAGAATGGGAGAATCTCAAAAAGATCTTGAGCAAGACGCATAAAATACATATTGTATTATTTAATTTGCATAAAGCTCACAAAACAGGTAAAATGAAACTACTGACACTATAGCTTTTAAGTGTTGTGTATTTAAAAGGTAAATTACACACAAAAAAAAAACCAAGAAAGTGATTATTCCGGTAACTGAAGAAACGCTACCTCTAGAGAGGAAGGAGGGGCAGCGACTAGGACAGGGCCCGGGCTCTGGGTGCGGGCAACGTTCATTTCTTGGCCCGAGAAGCCCAGGCCCCAGGCAGCGGTAAATCGGTGAGCCGCACGTTTGAGCGGTGCCTTCGCCAGCGTGCAGAAGAAAGGGGGAGGAACGGGGAGAAGGGGCGGGCGGCCAGCCCTGCCCAGGAAAACGGCCGCCGCAAAGTGAGCCGAAACGCGGCTCCGAGCCGGGCCCGG